CTATGATATTATGTCTTTTAATGTGAAAGTGTCTGAATAATTTTCTTGTCATAATTTGTAATGCAGCAAGAGAGACCAAAAATTCCAGATGATATAGCCCCAGAACTTGCATTCATCATACAGTCATGTTGGGTTGAAGACCCTAACTTACGGCCTAGCTTCAGTCAGATTATCCGCATGTTAAATCAATATCTCTTTACACTCCAACCACCAGCACCACCTCCACAGCCGTGCTTGCCAGAATCAGAGGCCAATCAGGCTGCTTCAACAAGTAATGGTGCCATTACTGAGTTCTCAGCACGTGCTAGGGGGAAATTCTCTTTCATTCGCCAACTTTTTGCTGCTACAAAGAGGACAAGGAACTTGCAATAAAGAAAACCGGGTAAAATTTTGTGTTGAAACATTCAATAGACGGTTATTCTCTTCTCTTCCCTTTTTTTTTTTTTTGTGTAGTATCTTTTGATTAGTTGGAGAACTTGATGATTAGCTCAGGATGATAATTATTGAAAGAGATAGCATGTTAGTGGGGGAACATGTTCATGTTCAGAAATAAAAGGAAATACACAAGTTGTCAATATTACACCAACGTTCACTTCATTGTAAAGAAAATATATATGGCTTGATCACTTCGTTGCTCGGCAGGATTCATTTAGAGTGGTGTGATGTGGAGTAGTGCCGTAATGAGATGATTTATACACGTATATATCCTTTGATGTAGCTTGTTTCAGTTTTGGTGTATCTCGTTAAGCATGTTTATATGGTCTCAGAGTATGTGTGATCAATCCTTGTGGTCGCTGTGGATTAACTAGAGTACAATTTGTAAGCCTAATGCGAAGTATGTTACGTGGAAGGTTTTGAATCTTTTGTTAGAGTCCTCTAATTAAGTCACCATGTTGCAATGCTGCAGCAAGGACACTGGCTTTACTTGGTCCATTGTGTTATGTTATCAGTTCGATTATAAATTTTACGGAAAAAGGCCTTTGAATCCCAGGTGCGTAGCTCATTGTCGGGGATTTCCCTATCTCTTCTACTCTTCCCCCTGACGATAATCTGCTGAAAGTTACACCCCTATGCCCTCCATCACGAGTACAAACCACAATAAAAGTGATGGTGGTAATGTATTCATTGTCTTGGTACTCTTGTAATTATTTATTTATTTGCATAGGGGGTTGAAGAATCAGCTTATCATATGGAGTACTCCGTAATAATCTTATGTCATTGAAATTACTCAATTTGCTTATAAAAACATCCTTAGCAAAGTTATAATTGTTGCATATCGAATTCTTATAATTGTGAAAAATAAAATATTTTCAAAATTCACCTGATCGTAAAAGAAAAATAAATCTCCTTTTGGATTTCATGTAAGTCTACATGAGAGATACTAAACTCAAACTAAAAAAACTGAACTTGGACAAATCTCAAGGCACTTGCTACACTCAAACAATAATGCAAATTTACCAAAACGAATAACAAAATCACGAAGAAATTGATAAGAAATGTTCGAAAATTGCCAAATATTATGAGAAATTTGGTTATTCGCAACTTATGAAATCCTAGCTTTTGATTGGGTAAATATAAGGAAATTTTGACTTTTACTACCACTAAAGAGCACCGCTTTGATATTTGCTATCTATCTAAAATTTTATTTAATTTTACTACCAACAAAAAACATAGAAATATAGATTTTGCTAACACATAACGATTTCTGTTAGGGTTTCGTTAGTGGTCAGCCATTAATTTTTTTCTCGAATTGCATGCTGAAAAAATTCCTTTAAGGTGTTAGGGGGTTATTTTGGCCCATAAGATACCAAATTGAGCTCAGAATTAGCAAAAAATATAACGTAAGTGTCTCGTTTTGCGTGTCCAAAAATGTATCGATTTGCTCGTTATTATTATTTTTGCCACAAAAATTGCTTGGGTAAAGTATTAGGAATCATTTAGTCCTTCAACTTCCAAATTGAGCTCCAAATTGGGGGGAAAAAAAACGTAAACGCCTCATTCTATGTGTTTAAATCTACATCATTGAGCTTGGAATTGACATTATTGGACATGCGAAACGAGACATTTACGTAGACAAGTTAGCAAGGGCATTGCTAAACGCAACCTCACTTTTCTTAACGCAGCCCTTATTTCCATCATTTGTAAAGCTTTAAGGAAAAAAAACCTCCCACTCTTACTTTTTTTTTTTCCTCCCACTTTTCAAAAATACAACCTATATTCTAAATAGTTCCAAATTGAAACGGATGATTTTTTTTACCAAACTCAACTTGAATTTGAGTAAATCTACATGTACACTTGTCCGTCCATGTAATTATTCAAGCAAGCAACTCCTCTTGCCTCTTCAAAGTTTCATGTAATCCATGCTCACTGCTCATCAAACAACTAAATAAATGAAACGCGAAACAATTTGAGGGATTGTCATGTAAACTAAATATCAGGCATCAATCCAAATATCCAATAAATGAAACAACATCAAAGACTTCAATCCAATAAAGAGAAACAATAGATCATATTTCAGTCAAATTACATGAAGTAAAACAATCTAATTCCGCCCAACTATATGAAAATTACCCATATGCTTTAGCCCAACTATATGAAACACCTCAATTTATAGATTTTAATTTTCAAATCTGTTTCTAAATTTGCCTTTTCTTTGTTAAATTCCGCGATAAAATTGCAATGTACTACTATATTCGAATAATCATTGTGAATTCCTATCAACTTTAATGTAGAGATTTTGGGGGAAAATAGAGCAAGATGAAGAGAAGAGTATAACACAAAAATTAAAAGATGGTCAAGAAATGCTAACTGGTTCAGATTTTTTTTTTTAAAAAAAAGAGCAAAGTGATATTGAATTTCTGAAATAAAAAGAGTAAGAAGAAGAGTTGAGTTAATGAATTCATTAAAAAACGAAGGCCTGAATATCTAATTGACATAGTGTTTTGAAAAAAATGTTTAGGAGTATTTAAGAGGGTTACGTTGAAGTAAAATAGGGTTGCATTTAGCAACCATGGTTAGTAAAACACAAACAGAACACAACGTGATACAACAAGACAAAAGGGACAAGGGAGTGATATCTTAGGAAAAATTGCCAAACTGAGCGTTTTTGGAAAACAATTTCCCAAACAAGACGCGTGGCAAAACTATTTACCAAACTAAGCTTTCAGGGTAAAACGCCAACCAGGGTGGCGTTTTACCCTGGACAATTTTTTTTTTTTAATTTTTAGTCAAAGGTAAAACGCCATCAAGGGTGGCGTTTTACTGCTGGGCAAATTTTTTTTAAAAAAACATTTACACAAAAACGCTAACACCGTTGGCGTTTTACTTTTAACACAAAAGCGCTAACGTCGTTGGCGTTTTAGAGTCGGGTATTTCTAACAGCATATATCGCTGTTCTTCATTATTCAACCAAACCCCCAAATTGCAAACCCTAACCCCGCGCATACCAACTTCCAATTCTCCATATTTGAAGCAATTTCATCACATTCCGTAGCTTAGTTTTGCATCATAGTCAATAAAAATTAATCCTCCTTCTTTGTTCAACACTGTTACGCCCTACTTTCATCGAAATTGAGGTATGTCTTGAATTTAACTATTTTACTTGTGTATGATGTTTTTTGGGAATTTATGTTTGTAATTTACAATGTATGTACTATAGTGTTGTTCAAGTATGCGAAATATGTATAACTACATAATACATTGTTGTTTAATTATTGAAATTAAGTATAGTTATATGTATGTTGTATAATTTCGTATAATTTATATGAAGCATTTAGTTGTTGAACTACATATATGAAGCATTTAGGGAAGTACGAACTACATTGTTGAGTTAAGTACATTTAAATGTATCTTACATTGTTAGATTAAGTAGGTAAGTTAGTATGTTGTTGAACACTGCGTTGTATGTACGCTTTGCTTGGGGATTTATTGGAATCATTGTGGTTTTAGTTGTGCATATGTGTCACCTAATATGTGGTCTGATGTTATGTAGAACATGGCTTCACAATTGATTGTTTTGTTATGCCGTTGGGGGGGTGAAATTTTGTGTGTCGGACCCAATGTCGAGTATAGAGGAGGAAAAATGGAACCGCTAGCATTAAAACCTTGTATGACTTACAATGATTTGTTGAATAAAGTTTATACTATAATTGGTTCAAAGCCAACAAGTGTTGAAGTGAACATCAAAATGAGGTTTGAAAGTGTTAGCGGGATTCAAATCTTACCTGTTTTGAATGACGACCATTTGGAGGTTTTGAGGGGTGTCGTTGCAATGAGGTCTCTTCCTACTGATTTGTATGTGGAAACGGTGCCTGTATGTACTCAACAACCAACATTTCTTCCATCATACAATGCAAGCTCTCTACAAATGCCCGCATATAACATTCCATCATCTGAATATGGACTGGGTTCTTTCAGTAGAATGTTATGGTTAGACTAAACTTTTGTTTTTTTTATTACAGTTATGGGCTTGGGAGCACATCCACGTTGGTAGGCCAGCTATGCCTGCTAGGCGTCGACGCGAGGAGGAGGAGGAAGACGATCAGGAGCATGCATATGAGGCGCCGCCACACCCACCACCGGACTTAGCATACGGTTGCCGGTATGTATGACTTATTGTTAAGTTATCCACATATGGTTTTAATTTTCTATTAATTTTGTCATGAACACTGTTATTATACATGTAATCAGGTGGCTAGGGCGGAGACTTACTCGTGTGCATGCAGCAAGGGGTCTGCCGTATTATAGAGATGCATTCGACAGACTGAGCGAGTCTCAGGTTATAGTTCACTTTAAAAACTAATTTAACACCGTGTTCATTATTTTAATAAGTTAATTATGATGTTAACGACTGCTTGTTAATGCAGATGACGTGGGATCCGTACGTCCCTCACTTAGTCGATGCCATGCCCCAATATCTTCTTGATCACCAGATGGAGTGGCGTGCCATGACAGTGCTCATCTGTTTTGAGTTGGTGGAGGCTCACCTCCCCGACAGAGTCATGCGACAGTTCGACCTTTGTCAAGCCATCCCCGCCCCGTGTGACACGAGTGTCCAGTTGCACAGGACAGACCGACGAGGAAAGGGGGAGGTTAACTGGGCAGTTCAGCATGCCCCTTACATTGACATGTGGGACCAGCGGCTGCAGCACGTCGCGGATGGTGCGCCTGTCCAAGGCCTGATGGAGTATCACGATCCATACATGGTATGGTACAGGAGCATTACCCGACGCTTCATCAACCCTAACTACACCCCACCCTCAACGCATTACCACCCAGCTTTTGGAGACATCAGTGGATATGTGAGTTTTTTGTCATTTTTTCTTTTCCTCCAATTTATAGTTTCTTTAATTATTAAAATGGCTGATTGTTGACTAATGCAGGCGTCTGATATGCTTGCTATACATGATGCACTAGAAGTCTTGAGCATATCATATCCCACCATACCGCAGTTGGATGACATTCACGCAATGACTGTGAGTAGCTTACAGAGACATGGTCATGGCCATCTTATCCCCCAAGGCCGGGACCAATCACACCGCCGTTCACACCGTGAGGTAGGCAGCAGTAGTAGGGGACAGACTCACACGTCCCCTACAGGGTCCCCCCTGTTTTTTGATGATCAGGAAGATATCGCCATCCACATGTCTGCGCCATACTCATCTCAAGAAGGACCATCTTCCAGCCAACAGACTCCTCCCCAGACCTCTGCCCCAGATCCTTTCATAACGGTATTTCAGTACTACCGTCGTAGAAGACCGCGATTGGATAGACAACAATTACATACAATAGATGAATCGGGATCTTAGAACTTCTTTTGTTAGTTGTAATCAGATTCTATAGTACATTGTATCCAAATAAATATTATCAATTTTACTAACCTTTTTAGTTCATTTTCTGTACATTATCAACTTCACCATACGCATTCATTCTTTTCATTGTATTGGTTGCTGGTGTTGTTGTTGTTGCTGGTGTTGTTAATGTTGCTGATGTTGTTGCAGTTATTGTTGTGGTTCCTGTTGTTAAGGTTGTAGTAGTTGTTGTGATTGTTGTTGATGCTCTTGTTGGGGTTGTCGCTGTTGCTCTTGTTGGGGTTGTCGCTGTTGCTGTTGTTGTAGTTGTTGTGGTTGTTGCTGCTGTTGTTGTTGCAGCTCCTGTGGTTGTTGCTGTTGTTGTTGCAGCTCCTGTGGTTGTTGCTGCTGTTGCTGTGTAGCTGTGTTTGTGTGCAGAGATAAAACGCCAACCATGGTGGCGCTTTAGGGGGGTAAATTATTTTCAAAAAAATCACTCAGGGTAAAACGCCAACGACGTTAGCGTTTTTGTGTAAATGTGTTTTTTTAAAAAAAAATTGCCCAGCAGTAAAACGCCACCCTTGATGGCGTTTTATCCTTGACTAAAAAATTTAAAAAAATAAATGCCCAGGGTAAAACGCCATCCTGGTTGGCGTTTTACTCTGGAATCTTAGTTTGGTAAATAGTTTTGCCACGCGTCTTGTTTGGGAAATTGTTTCCCAAAAACGCTTAGTTTGACAATTTTTCCGATATCTTAGGAGTTTAGGACTAGTTAGCAATGTAACTGTAATACTGAATTACTGAGTCTGTGAGTCAATCAGTCAGTCGTAGTAGTGGTAGTTTAGTAGACTAGACAAGTCAATGTTTAATTTGGACAACTTTAACAACAATCGTGGAGAGAGAAACACTTCACAGCACAGCTTCTTCCAGATTTTAGAGAGAGAAAACTAACAAACAAACAAACCAAAACAAAAAGAAAGAAACTTGCTTCAAATGAATTGGGATTCAAGACCTAGATTAGTGAGAAACAGATTTTGAGCAAGTTTTCATCGAAATTCCTCCGTATCATTTTTGGAAAAAATGTCTTTTTTTAATTTTGTAAAGGGTCAACTATAAAGCTTCTTTACTTGGAAATTGAAACTGGGTTACTTTGAATTTGGTCATGAATTTCGTAGGAAATTTCTGCACCAAATACCCAATTGAAGTTTTGAGATTGGGACCTAATTTCCCATTTATTTTCTTACCAATTTTTGGGTTTCTACAAAAACCCCTAATTAATTAGGGTTTTGGGTATTCAATATGACCCTTTAATTTTTCTGGGTTTCCTTTTAATTTGACAGATTTCATCTTAATTTTTTAAATTTTAATTTTTTTGGGGTTTTGGGTTTTAGCTTAAATGGATGGAAATGAAGCAGCTTTGCATACTGCTATTAATGCAATTGAAGCTTTAGGAAGAGGTTTTGATTTGAACTTTGATACGAGGTTGTTGTATTGCAAAGGAATTGCTGGGTCTAGGATTCTCCAAATTGATGAAGAACCCACTTGGGATTTAAGGTTGTCTAATCATATGATTATCCCTAATGTTCCTAGGTCTATCAAAACTGAACACTTCCACGAAGGTCGGGAGAGTTTTAGTGTTTGCTCTTATGATGAGGTAATGTTCTAAAATTTCTCGTCTTTCAATTAGAGTTGATTTCAGATGTTTTGTTTCTTTTTGTTATTTGGTGTGTATATATAGAGAGCCGTAAAGGCCGAGGTGGGGACGGGATTCGATCCTAGGTCTTGGGCAAGTCTTTTACCAACTAAGCGAGCTGACATCCACTGTGTTGTATTTTTTGTGGTTTGTGGGATTTGTTTGTTATTGCAAATCATTAGTGTTGATCACTTGATCATCTAAATTGGTTTTATAGTTCTTATTATCTGAAATTTTACAAATTTTATTGTTCTGGTGATGATTGTTGTATTTTAGGTGTTAAGCTGCATCTTTTATATGGTTTATTTATCAGTTTGTAATTTAACTGTAACCTTAATTAGAGAGCATTTATGTGGATTTTGGGTTTTAGCTATAATTTTGTGCCATTATCATCGAACAACAAAGGCTATTGCTGTTTTGGTTTAGAAAGTTTATTAAAATGATTCCTATGTATGGCTTGAGAGGTTGGATCCTATCCAGTCTCCGTTTTGCGTTTTCTAGTTCAATGAACATCTATTGTCGTTGGAATATTTGTTATTTGTGTTTTTAATCCCGAGCTAAGGGTTGGATGATTGAGTTAGGCTACTTGCAAGCTCAGTTGTTTGTTGTAAATGGAAGTATAAATTGAGCTTATAAGACGGTGCATTTGCTTGAAGTGGGATGGTAATTCATACTGCATCATTGTGCATGTAGAGTTTAAGCTACTCATGGTTAGTCCTGTAAGAAGTTTTGGACATTAGAACTTCAATCAACAAAGGCTGAAATTTGAGAGACTGGAAAAATTCTTCTGTTCAGATGCTGAAGAGTGTGGGATACTGGTAAAGTGGATCTTTATGTAGGAAAAGTTCATCTTGACCTTGTGTTGGTGAACTGACCGGTGCATCTCCTGCTTACTATTAGGCTCCTTGCAGTGCCTGATCAATAACATTCAGGAGAGTCACTGTTCCCCCTTGGCTATTTATGGAAGCTGAAGGACATCTCAATTTGCAAGGAAGGGGTAAGAATCGGAATGAGAAGTGGAGGCTGGAGGGTGTCTTTACACCTGGGTGAACACTTGTGAGGGATGATATTTATGTATCTAAGAGGAAATTGATTCTTATGCAATTCTTTGTAGTATGAGAAGTGGTAGTTTGCTGCAGATACAATGGAAATGATTGCTCAACCACAGAATATTCTGCAAAATGCCATCAAGTTACATTCACTGGCCTTGGAGCTCCATGCATATGAAACTTACTGAATTGAAATGTGAATTGTCGAGCAATATTATGAAAGCTTGACCACAAGATTAAAGCTGACTGAACTTTTTATATAGGGGGTGTAATGTTAGTCTACATGGGTGTCAAGAAAAGGATGACTTGACTCAGAATCAGTTAAATATTTGAAAAATTGTTGTGTTGGGATGACTTATGAGTTCAAGGCATTAGATAAAGATCATGAAAGACCACATTGCTATCTGTAGTTGATCTGGCTGTAACTTTGGCTATCTGGACCATATTAGTGGTCAAACTGAATTCCATAGTTTTGGATTATACAAACCCTTTATTTTCTTTGTATGTGACTTGTCTGCTTTCTACTTGGAAGCCTTGATTCTTGGAATCTATGTGGCTGTAGATTCTATGTTAGTTTGTGACTTTGTGTTATGATTGCTTAGCTATTCTTTATGATTTGTTCATTGATTTAAAGAGCTAGGTAATTGTGTATTTAAGAAAGACAAGGAATATGAGTATGTTGTGCTAATAGTTAGGTACACTGATGATGATATTACCATGAATTGACATGATTGTGATTCAATGTAAGCTTGACACTGCATGAAACTTTGGCATATTATCTGAGAAATAGCAGAAGGGAATGCATCGTTAGATGTAATACATAGACCCTGAAAGTAATATGTGAAGTGAGGTTTGAGGAAAATATGGTATTGGATAGGGCGGTGTGGAGGGAGAAAATTCAAGTCAACAATATGTTGTGATTATATATATGCTTTCTAAATTTATTTTAGTGTTTTATTTTATTATTTTATCCCACTAATGTTTTATGAATTGTATTGATTTCCTTTGCTAAAGTTTTCTCAAACCTTTATGTTTTTTACTCCAACGTTTTAACCACTCCTTGAAAACTTTCCTAAATCTTATTCTTTGTTCTCTTTAAAACTCCCCTAAGTTTTTGGATGCTCTTCCTTTTTCTCACTTTACTTACCTTTTTTTCAAACTTTTTCAAATGATTATCTTGTTATGTCCTTTTCTTTATATCGTACGGTTCCTTATGACGATTCATGTTAGCCGACCCCAAATCATTTTGGGTCTAAGGCTTTGTTGTTGTTGCTGCTGTTGTTGTTCCATGCGAACAGAGCAATACCATTTGCAATTTCTTTAGTTACAGTATCACGAGTTGGATCTTTCATTTAGAAGTCATGTGATGCTTTATTTTCCACTCCCACTTCCTCTCAATTTGTAGACATTCAAGATAAATGCTTTCATTGTCCGGACTAAGCCGTATTGTATTGGGAGTGGTAGTTTTGGTACTAGATACCTTTTGACTGTAGGGAATTTCTTAGTAAAAAAAAATACAGGTTTACATTTACAAGTTTTCCCTGTTTGGCTCTGCAGAGAGTTCCCCTTTTCACCCCTGTCAGCTTGTGGCATATTATCTCAATGTACTTGTTTTTCCGTTCTAATTCATCTCTCATGGTTATTGCATCAGATGGTGAAGCACTTTAATAAAAAAGCTGAGCTAATGGCTGACATTCCTCTTGGAAGTTTCAATTCTGCATTTAATTTTACTGGTTCGAAGCACATTGATGCAGCATCCACTAAATCCTTATCAGTGGAAGGGTGTGTCATCCCACTTGCCAAATTTCAGCTTGCTAAGTCTTCATGGGTTCTACAGGAGAATGTCATCAGGGCTATCCCTACTTCATGGGATCCGCCTTCATTAGCTAGGTATGAGTGTTCACTGAACTCCTGTGGTGTTTTGAAAGAAATGATTGGGTTGCATTACTTTGTATTTGTGATGCCCTCTTATTGTTTGTTACAACTTTCTTTTTTTTCCCCCAGTTTTATTGAAAACTTTGGGACACATGTTATTACATCCATTACCATCGGTGGTAAAGACGTAATATATGTTAAACAGCATCAATCATCACCTTTATCTGCCATGGAAATGAAGAACTATGTTCAAGAGATTGGAAACCAGAGGTTTATGCAAACAGACCCTCGTACAAGTTCAGGTCCAATTAGAGTAAAGGATAAGGCTAGTCTCAGAATGTTTCTTCTATTGGTTGTCTCCATCAGTCTGAGCTGTCATATTTTGACTCAGTTCTCATGCTTGATTTCTTCCGATTGTTGTTACAGGTTGGTGATTCAAGCTTGTTCAACAGCCAAGGAATATATCCGCAACCGACAAATGTTCCATCTCTTAATGGAAAAGAAGTAAGGACTTCAGTGCTTACTTATAATGAAATCCATACGTGTTTGTGGAACATTACTATTTTTACTTTATATTCTACAGAAATTTTTGCCAGGGCTGAGATTTAGTATCACAATTGTGACAATAACTCTACTTTTGGGAACAAAATTTTACAGTAAATAAAAATTGTGATTTTGAGTAGCCTTTTCTTCTTAATTTGGGACTTAAAATGTACTTAATGGGTACTTGGTGTATTTCTGAAAATGTAGGGATATACGGTCCTCAGGGTACTATTTGAAAATTCCTATTTTCTTTTTATTTCCATCTTTGTGAGTGCTGACATGATTTTGATACTCTATTTTGTTACATCCCTAATACCTTAGTGCAACTGGTCATGCAGGATATCACTGTCATTTTTAGGCGGAGGGGAGGTGATGATCTGGAGCAAAGTCACAAACAATGGCTTATGACTGTGCATTCTTTTCCAGACATCATTGAGATGGCCTTTGTCCCGATAACTGATCTGATTAAAGATTTAGCAAGAAAAGAACACCTCAGCCGAGCAATTAATCTCTATCTGGAATGTAAGCTGTCACCATATTCGATGCACTCCGTTGCAGCATGAACATATAATAATTAGGGTTTTCAGTTTACAAGATTTTTTATGTAATTAACTATATTTGCAGACAAACCTCCGATTGAGGAGTTAAGATATTTCTTGGAGTTTCAAATACCTCGGGTATGGGCCCCTATGCACGATAGGCATCCCGGTCATCAACGAAAGGAACCTGTGTGTCCATCTTTGCAGTTCAGTTTAATGGGGCAGAAGCTTTATGTTAGCCAAGAGCAGGTAACTTTGCATTCAATCACATGTTTCTGCATTTTGATATGCTTGCCTAGCAATATAGCAAGACTACTATTTGCCTGTGTTGCTTCTTCCTTAACCTTGGAAATGTTGGAACTGGCCGGTGGCTAATGATTTCATTTAGTCTTGTCCTGGATCATGGAAGACATTTTATTCAAGTTAGATTTTGTAATCTGTTTGATACTTTGATGGGTCCATTATATAAAATTTTTATGTTCCAGACCCTTTTTTTTTTTTTTTTTTTTTTTTTTTTTTTTTTTTTTTGTACTTAGACTACAGAAGCCGGTTTTATAACACGGAGTTATATCTTTATGTAGTTTTATAATTCATCTTTTTGCCGATATCTTGTACACTTTCCTTCTAGTTCTTTTTAAAACTAAATTTATCATCTCTTATTTGGCAAGTGGTCTTGCTCTCCTCTCAACACATGGACAAAATTTCTCACTTCATTGCATGAGTTAGTAAGCCTTTAATTCCACAATTTTAAATATATTGGATGAAGGGGGTAATTATTATGGGGTTGGAAACTTATTATTGTGCATTGAGGATTGAATACATGTCACACAGATCTAAATTAGAGAGAGAGATGAAGAGTAAAGGGGCTGAAAACAGAGAATTATTTGTCCATTGAAAGGAGATAATCTTCCCGAAGTTTCTTATTGTCTCCTACAAATAACAAAGAACACTGTTATTAAACAATAATTAGCTCTGGTTCACAGAATCACAGCTAAAAGTTGCATTTCCTCTCTACCCAAAATATTTTTTGGAGAAGAGGAGTTTGTTTGGAAGTAATTGTCTAGTTTAAAGTGGCCTACTCAAATGTATCCATTGGTTTCTATTGTGTTTTTGTGTTTGCATCTCATGCCTTTGTATCTCGTATATGCAGGTTTCTGTTGGGCGTAAACCTGTAACCGGACTAAGATTATTTTTAGATGGAGCCAAGCAGAACCGATTATGTATACATCTTCAGCACCTGTCATCTCTCCCAAAAATCATGGTTCCATATTGGGACTCTCATGTAGCGATTGGTGCACCCAAATGGCGTGGACCTGAGGAACAAGATAGTCGGTGGTTTGAACCTGTGAAATGGAAGAACTTTTCTCATGTGAGTACTGCCCCCATTGAGAGCCCTGAGACTTTTGCTGGAGAGCTTTCTGGAGTCCACATTGTCACAGGAGCTCAGCTCGGAGTGTGGGATTTCGGTTCAAGAAATGTCTTGTACATGAAACTCCTTTACTCTAGGCTTCCAGAATGCACTATAAGGAGGTCATTGTGGGATCATTCTCCAGCAGAAAAACCCAAGAAATCGGGTGGCTCAGAAAGCACTTCTGGTGTGACAAGTTCAGGCTCATCAGAAACTGTCAACGGCAACAAGTTGGTGAAATTCGTAGACATGTCAGAAATGACGAAGGGCCCAGAAGATCTCCCTGGTCATTGGTTGGTAACGGGTGGAAAACTGGGTATTGAGAAAGGGAAGATTGTTTTGAGAGTGAAATATTCATTGTTGAATTATTAAGGAGTTTTAGTTTCATGTTTTTGTGCAGTTGTGCGTCTAGTTTGATGTTTAATGCAAGTGAATTGGTTTAAGTAGCTGTGTAATTTGTCGTCTGGCTATTGGGGGATTGATAAATGTGCATTTTTTCCAATTTTGGTGTTAGTTATCTATTCAGGTACCATTGTAAAGTTTGTAGATAATGCTAATTTTGCTTGTATAAGTTACCTTAAAAATGATGTTCAAGTTTCCTAAAAGCTCCTAAGTTCCCTGGCCATTGAATCTTTTTTCTGTTTCGGTATCTGAATGCAGTGTATCCAGCGGCTGCACCCCATATTTGAGCTTGGCTCAACTAAGCTCGTCACTTCAAAGTGTATCTAGTGAAGTAGTGATTAGGGGTGCTAATTGAGCAGGGCAAATCGTGAGCAGCTTGAACTCAACTTGGTCAACGCTCGATTAAAATTTGACTCGAGTTTGCTAACCTGCTCGAATCAGCTAGAAACTCGATAAATGTACAAGAAATTCAATATTTTCTATTGTTCTATCTTTAAAAACAAAAAAATTTACTTTGACACTTAATAAATTTAAAAATAATAAACTTAAGTAGGAAAAATTTATATAAAGAGAATAAAATATAATCAACAAATATTTGAAATTCAAGAAACCTAAACCTTTAAACGAGCAACTCGTGATTGACTCGGCTCGACTTGAAAATTAACGAGCACGAGTCGAGCAACCCTCTGCTCGTGATCGACTCGCTCGATTACCACTGCTAGTAGTGATTTAGAAGCAACAGAGAGCATCAACAGCGGAAATATGATATAGAATTTATATTGACCTGATTTTAATTGGGTTGGAAAGTAGACTTCTAGATCTTTCCAACGATATGTTATTTGTCTTAAACCGAGTTCGGGATTTAAAGTTATGATAAAAACAAAAAACGCAAAAAAATTGAAAAATCTAGGGAGAGAAACGCCTAGAATTTTTGAATCTCCTAGGGACATTTGAAAATTCTAGGCGTTTCTCCTCTAGAGTTTTGAAAAAAAATATGCGTTTGGCCTCCACTCAAAAAAAAAAAAAAAAAAACAATTTTAACTCCGGCGATATGTCCGACGACCTTGCCCTGGGTTGGTGGTGGTTTGTTGAGAGCAGAGAATGTTAGATTGAGTTATAGGCCAGGGAAGAAAAACATGAAATCGTAAGGGCATGTTTGTCCATTAATATTTAAATGCGGGCGTTACCTAGTAAAGTAAGGACGTCGTTCGTATTAATCTTATTATTGATAAATTAGACACTCTAAACTACTCTATGTAAGAAATTTAAGGATAGTGATTTTCTTATAAAAAGAAATTGAAGTAACCTTCATAATTCAAACTAATTTATGCTCTTTGTAATATGTACAATAAAGCGTCCATATTCTTTAACATTATCCATTTTTTGTTTTGTTTTGTGGTGAATATATAATTATCCATTTATGCTTCATCGTCTTCAACTGTACATATTCTTAGTTTCCTTAAATACCGTTCTAAGGTCTAATAAAACTCCAAATTTGAAGTATTATTGTACTATATTATAATATCATAAATCCCTCGAAAATCTCCTTTGATTGTGCTTAATTTCTAACTTCCCCTTAGAATTGCAACGTTTCTTCTAAACTCTACTACTATTTTTTTGAACAATTCAATTCTAAACTCTACTACTATAAATTAGCTTAATGTGAGCTAACTAGTAAAAAAAAAGAACAGAGAGAAAAAAAGTGAAATAACACAATATAATAGAGAGCAAATATCCTACTAAAAGTCAATTGATTAAGAATAATGAAAATTAATAAGAGCAATAATAAGGGTACATGCTTGCTTAATGTAGTAGCAATTTATGAATTTATAATTGTGATTTTCATGTTATTGATTATTGTTACCTAAAGTTCTACGAAACAAAATTCTTCTAATTCTTTAACCTAGATCCTTATGTTAAATGGTCATTTCTTGCATTTGTGCAAATTTGACATTCTAGCAGAGTAGAATAAGTGTTACAATTTCTAATCATTGTTATATTTTTTTTCCGGTTTGTGTTTCCTTAGCTTTACCTGTGTAAAAAATGGAACACTGAAACCGGGCGATCAGGATTGATTTAGGCACTACGTACTCATGTGTGGGTGGTGTATGGCAAAATGGTGGTGTTAAGATTGTTCCTAAAAACAAAGGCAACAGAACCACGCCATCTTGCGTCTAACATGGTACCCATGAGAATTTTTGAAAAAGGTGTGTACACTTGAGAAAACCGAGAACCTCATGGGTACTAATGAGAAAATCAAGTTGCCATACAATATTACGGAGTACCAAATATTCAAAAGATATTATTCATCATTAAATCGACTCTAAAATCAATATGAAAACTACATAGTACAAAGCATGCACTATAAACGTACATTACGTACCTCGCAAACTTTGCAAACCATAACATACATTACGGCATATCTCAAAATCAATAAGCAAAAAACACATACAATTACTAATCCCTCTTACATACTCTTTCTCACCAATTCCCAAAAACTTTAATTTGGGGTCAAACCTTAAAAATTATGTACCACTTCTTTGGGCCCCTAATCCTGGGCTCAAAGACCAAGCCCCACCTTTGCCTATCTCATTTACCCTTCTTCAAAGCTCCTTTACTTACCCTACTCTTGAGCAGCAATTCTCCTTCCCCTCATTTGAGCATAATTTGGCGAACCATGACTATTCTAGCCACACCTGCAACTATACTAGTATACCGTCGGTATTGTTGTTTGTGTTTGTTTTTCTGTATAATTGTTTACTTATCACACAATAAAACAAAGCTTTTCAGTTTGTTGCTACTTCCTAGGAACATTTTAGAATTATCTCATATTTGATAATATTTCCTAAAATCTACTTGCTATGAACATTCTACAGTTTTATGTGATAGGATATATTCTGGGAAGATTTACTAATATTTCCTATAATCTAGAATTACCGTAAGATAAAGTTTGATGGGGGACTGGGAATAGCTCGTGTGTAATATAAATGTTGATGCTGGAGATTATACATGGTATCACCTAAAGATAAATTTTTTAACTTCAAAAATAATTTGTCATGGCTGGTATGGCGATGATCCACCGTCTCCTCCACCATATAAAATTGAAACAACATTATTGCAAGCCAGTGAGTAAATGTTATTTTAATTGTCTTGTTATGTTTTTTTTAAAATAACATGAGAACAATGAGTACTTTAACTAATAATGAATTGAAAGCCGTCGAACGTAATACGAGATTGTCTACCGTGAAAGTATTATATCGGGGTAATACTAACTTGTTTTGGACTGGGTTTGTGGTTGGTCTAGTAGATGACTTAGCAATTGTATTAACCACTACCCGTTGTTTGAAAAACACTCAAGATCAAGCTGATGATTTATTCCTTGTGTGTTTTTATGGCGAAAATGGTCCAAGTAGGAATTATAAAGCTACAACTCAGTTTGTGAAAAAAGAGAGTGAAATTCTTCTATTGAGTGTTAAGTTGGAGTTAGGATTAACTTATCCTAAACTCCTCTTTGCTTCAGAGTGAGTGGAATGTTAGCCCTGGTGATACTTTACTAGCGGTTTCTCATCCACGTACGCGGGCTTGGCGACTTACAGTTGGATAAAAATGCTCAGAGGACTCTTACTTTGGCGATGCTGCAGCCGATTATGATAAGAATATGGTAGTATTTGAGCATGATTTGGACCTAGTGTCCGGTTCGTCAGGATCGGCCCTAGCGAATGTTAATGGTCGTGTTGTTGGGTTGCGATCGGGAGATGTAATCGACAACTATCAGTTAGTTAGTGGGGCTCCATTACTCCATGCTCGTGATTGAGTTGTTGAAAATCGGCGTGCCAATCCTGCTGTTCAGTTGGACAAGAGTCATGTAGTATTTGTTTCGATACACACATGTCACCTTAAGTATGCCGTGCATACAAAGTATTTGGATGGGATAATACGAAATAATATGATTGTTGATGCTCAAGATCAGTCATTGAATAGAATCATTGAAGCATACATGAGGGCACGATCAATTAGTTGAGCCTCTCAATTGATGAAGATGATCTCTTTCCTTGTTTTTTTTTTCCCTAATTTGTTTTAGAACATATTCACTTACTAGTTGCTCAATGTAGTTTCTTTTAATGGTTATTTTATAAAGTATTTCTCTTATGTCAAATTACAAACAATGACTTTTCTCTTATGTCAAAGTATTTCAGTGTGTGTTTCAATGTGTATTTCACTCTACCTCTCTTTTACATGCTAAAAACACAATCTCGTAGATAATAGGATTTTACATTACCATGTTTTGCACTTCATATATTCATTAATGGGAATCGGTCAAGGTTTGCAAACTTTAACTCTTAAAATAAAATTGATGCAAACTTTTGGGGTGTTTGGCATTTGTCAATACTAGGATCGATTCTAGAGATGAATTTCAGGAATGGGTGCTTCGCATGGTAGATGATTTAATCTAGGCTTTTATTTGTATTGATGTCGATGTTAAAATGTTTTAAGCATTTTGGCAACAATGTAATATATGTGTTAATTAAGTGTATAATAATATACTTATAGTTTAACGTAATTTGTTAATTTATAAATAATTCTAATACAATTTGTTTCTCCAACAGATTAATTTTCAATTGTTTTTTTAGGACTTATCTCTGTTATGACAATGTAGGAGATGCATAAGTTTATATTTATATGAATGAAGGTTTTTTTTTTTTTTTTTTTTTTTTTTTTGTTTATGATATAAATATAGAAAAGTAATTAATAATTTTTTCATAATATATTCAACTTTAGGATAATAATATATTTCAATACTTTATTTTTAATAGTATTTTTGTAATAAAAGTTTCGTAATATATACCGTAGAATATATGTAAAAAAAATAAGTTTTTGAGTAAAATTGGATTAAATATGTTTTCAAAATAGAATTATGTATTACTGTAGGTTTAAAATGGATGTCAGTAAAATTTGGCAAAAAAAGTGGGGGGGGGGGGGGAGAAAGAAAAAAAATGCTCAGAGGACTCTTACTTTGGCGATGCTGCAGCTGATTATGATAAGAATATGGTAGTATTTGAGCATGATTTGGACCTAGTGTCCGGTTCGTCAAGATCGGCCCTAGTGAATATTAATGGTCGTGTTGTTGGGTTGCGATCGGGAGGTATAATCAACATCTATCAGTTAGTTAGTGGGGCTCCCTTACTCCATGCTCGTGATTGGGTTGTTGAAAATTGGCGTGCCATTCC